GTCTCATTTTGACATCTCACATGTTTGACAGATATGGTCGCCAAACCATATCCTAATGAGGACACAGATGGATATGGATTTGGTCTACTAATTTCGCCGGCGGTTGGCGACAAAACTGCGACATCTCGCAACCAAATTGTTTGCTGGGAGATAACTATGTAGAACATAGTAGAAAGGTGCGCTAGTTAGGTTAAGTTGCGTTACCCACAATCGAGTTATATGTTTAGAATCTCACTTTATTACATTGACAATGGATTTGGAATCGTGCGAAAATCAATTTTTGTATGATGACGACAATGATAATGAAGAATCTGATGAAGAAATAATAGTGGTGATTCGCAAAGAAGATAGAAAGAAGATATAAATATATATATCTTAATTATCTATCACAAAACCCTATTTGCCATAAAATCGGCACAATATATACTTTAGTTGATAGAGCCATTTTACAACTACCCTATAGATTTAATTTTCAAAACGATTAATAATAGACTTAAAACTTTAATCTCAACCAAACTAAATAATCCTAATACCCACACAAATAATGATTCCTCAGATACATCTAAAAGATATTTTTTATTACCATATGTTCCAACAGCCACGAATTTTAACTTTAACTTTTCCAAATTCAAAAACCAGCAATTCAGACTTTTATATAGGAACTTAAATCAACTCAGAAAATTTATTAAAACTCATAAGGACACAACAACGTTCTTGCAACAAACAAATGTGATATATCAGATTTCTTGCAACTCATGTGAGGCCAAATATATCGGCCAAACGAAACGACAGCTTAACATCCGCTTGAAAGATCATAAACACAATGTAAAAATTCTAAATCAGGCTTCAGTTCTTGCAGAACATGCTATTCGGACTGGTCACACTTTCAATTGGAATAGTGTTAACATTTTAGACAATGAACCAAATTACCACAAAAGATTAACATCAGAAATGCTACATATTAAATTACAAGAACACAGTTTGAATAGAATGACGGACGCTGAACTACTTGACGATTTGTACTTACCGCTCATAAATAGAATATTAAAGTGATGTTTCCACAGCGTTTTGATAAGAATACTGTAACGGAGCCGCGTTACGTGCGGCTTGCCCGGCCTTCCTCCTGCCGGATAGCTTGGTCGGACCAGGATTCGGGAGAGGGGAAGGGAAAGATTGCGACACGTTTGGTTACTGCTGTAAAATAACGTCTCTATATTCTTGAAATATTTTGGGATTATATACAAAGTCAGGATGACGCGGGGCACGAAGCCCTTACAGACTGGTGGTTCGCGGCTCGTGATTGGTGCGCGCGAGTTATGGCTTGTCGGTCTCGGCCGACGTGGC